ATCTATCTATCTATCTATCTATCTATCTATCTATCTATCTATCTATCTACCTACCTATATCTATCATCTATTATTTATATATTCATCATCATCTATTCATCTGTCATCTGTCATTTATCTGTCCATTTATCATTTATATATTTATATATCTATATATTAATCATGCATCTTATCAAATTATATTTATCCTAAAGTATAGACCAAATTGCTGTAATCTTAACTTAGTTTGAATTGTTGGCTTACATCATCAAGTTAAAAACAATAGATTTTTCAAGGTGAATTTTGTCTCCCACGGTTTCTCCAATAATGTTTGAGGCAGAATCCGTTCCTAAATATAAGATCCAAATAGCTTGTTTTTGTCATTATGATTTTAACTAAATGTATCCATTGACAATTTCATGCATGTATATGATGCATTCCTCATATCTCCGCACAGCCCTCTCCTCCTTATAAACCCCTTTCCCAAGATCATGTCCTTTTGTTGTGTCTTGTGACCCGCTGAGTTTAACCAGGGCCCTCTGCATGAGGACAAGTTTGGAACTGTCAGCTGGAGCCTGGTGGGCTCACACGTGGGTACATCACTGGACCTGTCATCATCCAAACACAATTGGGGTTCATGGATCTTTATCCTTCCTTGCCGAACTATTGGTATTGGAGGATTCTGGGAGAAAGTAGTCACTGGCTTCCATTATGTACATTTAAAATTGCATTTCCAGTTAATCTTTGGCTCATAAACTCATTGCCAGAAAACATGGTGTTTGTGAGCTCATCCACGTTTGAGTAATCCTAGAGGCCATATGTCTAACTGCCTGCTGAACAGGGAGGCTACTCAGCAGTTCTATTACACCTCACTGGAAGATCCCACTGGCTGAAATAGCCTAGGAATCTGTTCCCAGCTCTATAAGGGTGATTTACCCCTGAGATGACTTCCCAGACATTTTCTCCTACTCTGAATCAATCTGGTAACTTGTCAGCACAAGATGACTTAGCACTGGGGAAGGAGAATAATAGAAACAGGTAGATGAGGAATTTCTGGTTTGATTCATGATTTATGTCCTGTAAAATTAACTTAAATGTTTCAGTAAGTATCTCTGATCTGGACTTTCTCATCTATCTTGGCTTTCTTCCTCCTATGTGTAACTACCACTTAAAGCATCAGTGGTTGTTGCTGCTTTGGATGGAAACCTGTCAATGGCAGAAGACACATTTGATTTGAAGTAATGGATTGCTGCCTGGGGCAACCAGCCTCCAGGAGAGATGGTGCTGGAAGGCCCCTGGATATTTGTGAGCTCTGTGTTTTTCTACTCAGCTCTGGAAGGAGCTGTTTGCCCTATCAGCTTGATTGTTCTAAATCTTGAAACAAAAGAAAAAAAGAAAGAAAGAAAGAAAGAAAGCTTCTTTTACTGAGGACCTGACATGAAATACCATAATGACTTCGAGAGAAACGCTAAACAGTCCATTCTGTCAACGGTGGCTGCCGGGCGCCGACAGACCATGGCAGGTCTTTTTGTCAGGTCAATGAGCTGCTAAAAATTGTCTAAGTAGGACCTTGCCATGATAGGCCACCCTGCCTCAGAGGAAGTCATTATAGACTATCAAGTAAACAATACACATTCCAAAAAAATTACTAATTAGGTTTTGTAGCAATACTTTCCATCCTTAGGGGCTCTAGAGTGAGATAATTGACCGCGACGTGAGTTATGCCTCCCAAGCTGAAGGCATGAAGGTTAATTATCATGGTGTACAGCCCCCAGCAAAGGGGACGGTGGTGATGAGAGAATGACATTTCAAACATGTGTTGATGATTCTTTTGAAAATAGAACTTTCTAGAATGGTCTTGATTAAAGGGCAAAGTGAGACAGTTACTATAACAGTCACCAGGAACTCACCCCACCTTCCCCCCCCCCAAAATGTGATGGAGTGTGCTGGAGAGAGACAGCGGGAAACTCCTGGCTCTCGAAGTCTGTCAGATATGGATCTACTTGGTTGGCAGTATTTCTTGAGGTACAGTGGAGAGAGGGAGAGAGGTTTTCCTAAGTGAGCTCATGGTGCTAAGCACACTGTCAGGATACTTATAGCTTATCATATGCATTCTCCTCAAGGAGTCTCATCTTTTATCTTATTATTTTGGAGGATTGTTTATATATTTGGGACAGGGGTCTTACAGTACAGCCCAGGCTGGCCTCCAAGTCGTAAGCTGTCTGCATCAGGCTTCTGAGTGCTGGATTTGTAGTCATGTGCTACTGTGCCCATTTGAGAGAGTTTTAATTCATTTATATGGGGTGGGAAGATATTGAGCCTCTTAATACATGTAAATATATTCATACTATCTTGCTGCAGAAATGCCCATTTGGGCATAAATGCTATTTCATGAAGATTACCTTTAACATGAAATTTATGCTAAGGATCTAATTTGATCTCAGTGAAATCTACTTGAATGATGAAATAGATGTGAAAGTACTTCATTTTTTGAACAGGAAAGAAAAAGGATGCAGCCAATCACCTTTCCCCTAATTCTTGATGATGAGGAGGAAATAAGTTATAATTTATTGTCATCTTCTTACTGGGCAATTTACTTACAAGGATTTCAAAAGAGTTAAGTGCTTAAAATCTAACATGTATACACATTATCATATGCATACAAAGACATGGCGCTATGATTGAATATAGCCAGGAGAAATAAAATACTCATATATACTATCCATGCTGTCTTTTGGTAGCTGAGACACTAGGGTGAGCCAAGTATCCTGTGTATGACAAAATATGATGACTAATTTTTGTTTTGTTTTGGGAGACAGGGTTTTATGTAACCCAGACTGGCCTTGAACTTACTATGTACTTGAGCCTAGCCTTTTAAATTTTGAATCATCTTGCCTCCATCTCCCAAGTTCTGGGATTACAGGAATGTGTCAGCATGGTCAACTAGGACCATTTCTTTAAAAGGTAATAAATGACCTGTTCTTGGAAGAGGCACATACAGATGATTGGAGTTCTTAGAATATTAAACTTAAATACAGATTTAAGTTTAAATTTAAGTTAAATCTCAAGTTTTGATGTTAAATATTAATTTTAATATTGAATACTTCAGCACTTACTATAGAAGCTTTTGCATTGCCACACAGACTGCTATGAGGGTGGAAGTCCATGTTTTGAGGACTTAGATACAGTGCCACTGGTAAGAATCATATGACCACTGGCTACACAGTCTGTCCCAAAAATGTTATCACTATGGTCTAAGAAGATACTCTGCAGGATTTTTTATCCTATGTTAGGACAAATAATTGCATTAACACAGTTATAGCAATCTAACTTGGGAAGGCCAAGGTTAGTACTTTGCCTCATGTGTCTTTCATGGAGTCTGCTCAGCGTTCCTTATCACGTATCACCTGTGTTTCTGTACAGCATTTCTACACACCTCAGACTAAGGAAATAAACACTTACCTTTCTTGCATGGGTGGAAGTTGGATCCAACTATTAAATCGGGGATCATACCGGCTGACAAAATTTGTACTATGTTTTCCTGTAAAAAATACATTTGAGACATTTAAAACTTCAATTTCTTTCTTGCTTTGCACATTTATCAGTTTTTAAAATCTCTGTTGTCAGGTTTAACAAGCATGAATTAAGTTAAGGGAGTCTTTGGCACCACATGGGAGGCAGAAGGCACTTCCTCAAATGTGTTTCCTTTTTCCTCTTTCTACGTATCGTTGTGGAATGACTCAACCCAATCAAGCATACCAAAAGCAAGCATATTTGTTAAACTATTAGCACATTAAAATATTTTTTGGTTTTTTGATATTTTTATATTTTAAAAAGAAGTTATTGTACAAGTTTACACTCCCTCCAGGAGGAGAGTTTCCCTTTCTCCACATCCTCTTCAGCACGTGTTGTCACTTGAGTTCTTGATCTTAGCCATTCTGATGGGTGTAAGGTGAAATCTCAGGGTCACTTTGATTTGCATTTCCCTGATGACTAAGGATGTTGAATATTTTTTAAGTGTTCCTTTGCCATTCAATATTCCTCTGTTGAGAATTCTCTGTTTAGCTTTATACCCTATTTTTTAATTGGATTACTTAGCTTGTTGGTGTTTAACTCCTTGAGTTCTTTATATATTCCGTATATTAGCCCTCTATCAGATGTAGGGCTGGTGAAGATCCTTTCCCAATCTGTCTGGCACTTTCTCAGACAATTAGGAATAGTGCTACCTCAAGATCCAGCTATACCACTCTTATGCATATACCCAAAATATGCTCAAGTATACAACAAGAACATTTGCTCAACCATGTTTGTAGCAGCTTTATTTGTAATAGCCAGATTCTGGAAACAACCCAGATATACTTAATTGAGGAATGGATACAGAAATTGTGGTACTTTTACACAATGGAATACTACTCAGCAATTAAAAACAAGGAAATCATGAAATTTGCAGGCAAATGGTGGGAACTAGAAAAGATCATCCTGAGTGAGGTATCCCAGAAGCAGAAAGACACACATGGTATATACTCACTTATAAGTGGATATTAGACATATAATATAGGATAAACATACTAAAATCTGTACAGCTAAAGAAACTAAGCAAGGAGGGCCCTGGGTAAGATGATCAATCCTCACTCAGAAAGGCAAATGGGATGGACATCGGAAGAAGGTGAAAACAAGGAACAAAATAGGAGCTTACCACAGAGGGCCTCCGAAAAACTCTACCCAACAGAGTATTAAAGCAGATTAATGAGACTCATACCCAAACTCTGAGCAGAATGCAGGGAATCTTATGAAAGAAGGGGGAGATAGAAAGACCTGTAGGAGACAGGAGCTCCACAATGAGAGCAACAGAACCAAAAAATCTGGGCACAGGGGTATTTTCTTAGACTGATCCTCTAACCAAGGGCCAACCATGGAGATAACCTAGAACACCTGCACAGATATAGCCCATGGCATTTCAGTCTCTAAATAGCCTCCCTAGGAAGGGAATCAGGGACTGTCTCTGACATGAAATCAGCAGCTAGCTCTTTGATCACCTCCTCCTGAGGGGAGTCAGCCTTACCAGGCTACAGAGGAAGGCAATGCAGCCAGTCCTGATGAGACCTGATAGGCTAGGGTCAGTTGGAAAGGGAGGAGAACCTCCCCTATGAGTGGACTGGGAAGGGGCATAGAAAGAGAAGAGGGAGGGAGAGTGGGATTGGGAGGAGATGAGGAAGGGGACTACAGCTGGGATACAAAGTGAATATATTGTAATAAATTAAAAAAAATAAATTGTGAAGGAAAAAAAAGAAGTTATTGCCCCCAAATTTTCTATTTTAGAAAATTTCTTGTGTGATATTTCTAGATAGCCTATTTATTAATAAATTTTCATTCTAAAATATTATTCTATATATTATTATAATATAATAATATTATAACAATATTATATATTATTATATTATATATTCATCACTTGTCATGAACTGCCAACAAATTAATTAATTATAATTAATATAATTATATATTATTATATTATAATATTCATTCTAAATATATTTTCTAGAGAAATAATGATACTAGCAAACTTAAGAGATAAGTAAAATATTTTCCATATACTCAAGTCCCACACATGCTTAATGCCCATTATTAGCATTTATTTTTACTGACCCAAGAACCCTACTGTTGAAGAGACTTTTGCCTTTCCATGGAAATAATAGCAGTTGACAATCAGTCTTGAATCGCTTATCACAGAAGCTCTGTGTGTGCATCTGGGAGATGCACCATTGCTGTGACGTAAACACAAGTGCATCTGCTGAACCGGGAAGCAAGCGTGAGTCTTCTGAGCTGCTTAACCAGCTTATCCCCTCTGTTGAGCTTAAAAAGCACATTAGCGCGCTTCCAAGGTATTAAAATGAGTCTTATTTTGCATACATATTGACACCAAAGAGAGAAATGCAAGTGAAAAAAAAAACCACACACACTGTGTTTTCCATGTGGTAGCCAGCTCACACCCAAGGCCTCAACCTGAAACACTGTCTTTCTTCATGATTTGTCACTCGGCAGTGGGTACCAGGAATGAATAGAATGTGTACGTATGTGTGCTCAAATGTCTGAGGCATGGTCATGTTTGAAATCTATCATAAAGGTTCAGCCAAACAACATCTCTTTTTGTACAAGAGAAAGTGCATCACTAAGAATGAGTGCTTTTTAGCCTGAGTTCTTAGATGTAAGGTCACACAATTTGTTGGATTGACAAAGGCTAAGTAGAAATTGAGTAGAAACTAAGGAGAGAAGTTATGGACTCAGTTTTGTACTTAACCCAGAACAGCCTACAGCATGTCAGAAGGAGGTAGCTGCTAAACTAGCGGATGAGTAATATTACCACTGAAAGTTTGGGAGGCATTAGTTCAGAGTTACTATTTAAATGTACTGGAGTGGGTGAAACCACCTAAGAAAAGAGGTTGGAATTGGAAGATAAAGGGTCTAAAAAGTGACCTCTGCAGTGAGAAAAAAAAGAAAGAATGATATTTTGAAAGCCAACTTAAATGGTGTTCGTAGAAGAAAGGAGGAGCAGCTCTGAGACTCTGAGGCATGTGGGTGGCCCTGACAAGTGTTGCTTCAGGGAACTGATGTTGAGAAAAGCCAACAGAGCCAATTCAGCAGAGACTAAGAGATAAAGACACAGAGGAGAGAGCAGCATAATGTTTCCCAGGACTTCTGAAACCAAGAGAAGACCAAACTAGAAGACACAGTATCAAGAGAATGTTTGATGATAATTTTTTTTTAATTTTTTAAGCTCAAGAATACTGAAAAGTCCTTGAGCAGGCAATTGGGACCAAGGAACAAACATTAGATCTGTATATACACAGAACAACAAGAAGAAAATATGTAGTATCATGGTGAGAATCTAAATTGTCCTCAGAAGCCTGTGCCTTGAAGGCTTGGTCCCTAGTGTTGCTGGGAGAAGATTGGGTTTCAAGTGTGCTAATGTCATCGTCACTGGATTAATCTAATGACACGGAAGGGAGACATCAAGTCCTTACTTGAAAGAGTGACTGGGAAAGTGGTCTTCTCAAAAGATACCCTGGTTTTGAGTAGATAGGAAATTGATGAAACCGCTCAAAGGGGATGTCAAGGGATTCTAGGGATTGTGTGGACGTGAAGTTAGGAGTTCCTTCCCATGTGGAAGTGTTGGCAGTTCATGACAAGGGATGATAAATTGAATTTTATCTGGTGACTCACAGAAAGGTAAGAATGATAAGGATGACCCAGAAACTTCAAGTAGGTAGGCTACAACTCAAGTAAGGGCCATGTCCGCAGTAATTTTTTTTTTGAGGGGAAATTTCTCTGTAGGAAGATATATTATTTTTGGTACTCAAGTTTCAAGGTTAATTCCCAACTGCATCTGAAGACTAGATATGCCTACAGGAGAACCCATCCACCATTGGTAAAACTGCTTCTCTATGATGTCTGGCTCAGAATTTCTGTTTGGAAGAAGGAATATGCCACTTCTGGCAACCAGCTGGAGCATGGCTTCATGTACTAAGCAGCAGTGGTACTAACCAGAAGGCTTCATTTCTTGTAGAGTGGAAGTAGAGCTGACTCAGAGAAAAGACTCAATAGAGCCTGGTTTGAAGGGGTTTGAGATTAGAGAGCATGTCTAGATGCAGGCATGGTGGTGTGCAAAAGGGGCAGGTGAGGGAGTGGGAAGATAAAAAGGATGGAGCTCTGAGGGTGGCAGAGAAAAAGCAGAGGAGATAATGAGCTTCCTAAGAAATAAAAGTAAGTTAAAGTGGGCTTCTTATCTGCTGTCCTGGGGCTTACTGTTGAGACCCCTCTAAGACCTTGAGAGTGGTGGCTACACATGATAGAATTTTGGAGAATAGTTTACCCTGCCCACATCTTCTTTTTCTCTCTTCTCTACCCTCTACCCTTCTATCTCCTCTCTTCTTCCATTTTTTTCCTATAATTATTCATTTTCTCCCTCCTCTTCTTTCCTGTTCTCCTCCCCTCTTTCCCCCTCTTCTACTCTCTCCTCTTCTACCCTGTCTTTCCCTCCTCTACAGCTTTTTCCTTTCATTTCCAGTTCCTTTTGTTCCCTACTTCTTCCTATCTTATCCCTTCCCTTCAACTTCCTTTTCTTTCATCACTCTTTCTCATTTTCTCCCTTTCACCTATCTCATCTTTCCTTCACCTTCCATTCCAGTAGGGTTTCAGGAGCAGTCTAGACTGGTCTCAAATCTTATATCCTCCTATCCCCTCTTACGTTGTACTGGGATTTTATGCTTGCCCTATCAATGTAGGTCTTCATTTTCTTTCTTAGTCTTCCTTCTCTTCTTGTGATGAAGCTCATCACCAGACACCACTGATGACTAACAGTATGTGAAGAGATAAGTGAGGAAATGGGGGGCAGTTTCCAGCCAATGGTGGGGAACAGAATAGGGAAGGAAAATCCCCTCAGCTGTTTGAAGATTAATTTTAAGTGGTAAATTTAAATGAAATTTCTACATATTCTCATTAACATATATGCATGTTAAATACATTCTTATTACTAGGATGTGGAGCAAGTTGACAGGAGGTAACTTTTACATAGTAGCTAAGTAGAACACTTTGCATGTATAGTGTTTATTGGCCCAGTAATTAATGTTTTCTGAGTTCTGTTTTTTCTTTTATTTTTTATTTTTTTAATATTTTTATTTTTAAATAATTTTATACATTCACTTGTATCCCAGCTGTAGCCCTCTCCCTCTTTCCCTCCCAAGCCTCCCCTCCCTCCCTCATCTCCCTGTCCCCTTCCGAGTCCACTGAGAGGGGTGTCCTCCTCTCCTTCCATCTGGCCCTAGCTTTTTAGGTATCTTCAGGATGGTTGTAATGTCCTTATCTGTGGCCCAGCAAGGCTGCTCTTCCTCGGGGGGTGGGGGGGGAGGGAAGGGGAAGCTCAATGAGCCAAACATTGCATTCATATCAGAAACAATTCCTGTCCGCCTTACCAGGGAAACCCACTTGGATGCTGAGCTACCATGGGCTATGTCTGAGCAGGAGTTGTAGGTTATATCCATGCATGGTCCTTGGTTGGATAAACACTGACTTCTGTTTTTGGTCTTGCAATAAAGATCACCAATAAATGAAATGATAGTTCTGCTTGATGAAGTGCATCCTTATGTTTTACAATCTGAAATTCATAATTTTATATTTTGCTCAGGATATACCGCTCATAAAGTATTTTCATATGAATTAACAGTGAACTTGAGCTCTCATCTTTAGAACAGATATGTGTGCATAACAGTTGAACCATGTGTTTAATTGTTCTCTTGAATAGAGATTATATAAAAGTCTTCATATTAGCATAAGATATTTATCTTTTCTGTTAGTATTAGTTGCATAGGGCATCATAATATGAAAATTCTGCTTTCTGAGAGGTTCAAATCCTTTTAATGTCTTTACTAGATTTGTAATGATTAGAGGTCTTTGTGAACAAGTGGGAGCCACTTCCCACTGATTGAGCGCTTCAAACTGTGCTTGACTAGGTGGATGGGAAGAGCTGAGGTGAAAGACAATGTAATAGTTGTTATAGACCAACACCCTAAAATGGGACAAATCTATGGAAGAATCAGTTCCTTTCCTTTTGTGAGCACTGTCTCCCTACAAGGATACTCTTTGGGCTTATTCTCCTTACATAGAAAAACTTTAGCTGTCATAAATTACAGCTCACAAGATATTTCTGAAGATTAATTGAAATTTAGCAAAAAATAATCTTTGGCTGAAATACTGAGAGCTCACCAGCTATTACTACTAATGTTGTCAAAGTCTACTGTGGTTGACCAGATGAATGGAGTTTGTAGCTACATGTAATTTATGGAATTCTGGTAAATAGGTCAGTTCTTTTAGAAATAGATGCAGCCCATTTTCTAGCTGTAATGTTGGCTGATCATGGCCACAGATAGAGCCTTCTTTTAATAGACTACCTTGCACTCTGCTCTTATCTTCCTTCCACCTGGGGAAGATGCCAGTCAACAACTTTTTAGGGTGTTTTTAATTAAAAAACACTTTTAATGGGCACAAGGGACCAAGGGCTAGCTTACTTGCCTCTGGAATAACCAGCTCCCTCCTGTTTAAAGGAGCCAAATTCCCATTTGGAAGTTTCCAAGATTCCAAGAAAACTGAATTTTCTAGAGAGAACTGCCAGGCTTGTAACTGAGGGTAATAGCGAAGTTTACATACAACACATAAAGCTTTACCAAAACTTCACTCTGAGCTTCTTAGCAGCTAAGACAGACGAGACGTTGATTGGCATGTTCAGTGACGCTGATCACGCACACACAAGCACATCATGTCTTGGCACTCTGGGATGACAAGAAACTGCCGTGTGAGTCTTTATATGGTGTGCACTGAGGTTCCAGTGGGTGACTCTACCAGTAAGTGCGATTGTGGATTGATAGCTTTTCTGCCGGAGTGTGTTCATGCAGGGTTTTCGTCCCGCTTGCTGTTTCCTTCAGGTGTAGGTAGAGTGAACTCAGTAGAGTCAAATGGTGCAGTATGACTCTCTGAATTAATTCAAAGGAAAAAATTCCAGATCCTCTTGGCTAGAGGTAGAAATATTCTCTGAATTCTCCCCAACTTTCTGCCTAGTTCTCTGGGATACGTTTTAGATTTGGGGTTGAAAAGCAAGCAGACAATAGTTATATTTTTCAGAGGTGTGCATTGATACGTGTGTGCATGCATTTGTGTGCAGAAGCCAGAGGTCAAGCTTAGATATTGTTCCCAGGGACACACTGTGACAGGTTTTTACTAACTTGGGCTTGAGCAGGGTAGGCTGGCTAGTGCGCCTCAGAGACCCAACTGTCTCCAACCCAAACTCAGCACTAGAATTAAAAACGTATACTACTAGGGCTAAACTTTTCTAAGTGTCCTGAGGGTCAAACTCAGGTCCTCCTGCATGTACAGCAAGCACTGAATCATCCAAGCTGCCATCCCTGGCCTCAGCAGCTGGTTTTATCAGTTGCTCATTAGGATAACACTTGGAATGTGATTGTTAGGACTGTGGAAAAGTGCTTCCACAGCATGAATGAGGCCAAGGTTTAATCCCCAGCACTGAAAATAGAAACAAAACAAAACAAAACAACAGTCAGGTGCCATGGCTCATGCCTGTAATCCCAGCACTTGGAAACTGAGGCAGGACAACCGTGAATTTGAGGCTAGCCTGTGCTACATAGTGAGACTTTTTTTTTCTTTCTTTTTTTTTTTTTTTTTTGAGAGGAGGACTCATATGTGTAGAAAGTTTTACATTTTGTTTTGTTTTTGAAAGCTGAGTTGTGGTGGGGGATTTATTACTCTAACAGGGGCCTGTGGAAGAGTAGCAGGGAAGTGCCTGTGGTCTGAAATATGACATCTTAAACTTTTTCTTTTTAGTTTAGGGTTTTTTTTTTAACGTTTATTTATTTGTGTATGTGTGGGTTTTTTTTGTTTGTGCATGTATGTTTGTGTGTGTGTATGTTAGGGGGTGTGCGTGTCATGGTACACTTCTAGAAGTCAGAACAGCCTGTGGGAGTCAGTTCTCTCTCTCTCTCTCTCTCTCTCTCTCTCTCTCTCTCTCTCTTTATGATGTAGGCTCTTAGGGTTTGAACTCAGATTATCAAACTTGGCAAAAAGTGCCTTTCCTGGCTCAGCCATCTTGTGGGCTCACTGTTTTAGCTTTAATGAGGTCCTCTGAAGAATGTTTCACAGACTCTTTACTTATTAAATAAATCCCGTGGCTGTGTGGTGTGATTGCTTATGGACTCTACACAGGTATGATCCCTTTACTTCTAATACTGAGGTACAACAAAGATGTGGAGCCTGAAAACATCCTCTCTGTGTGGGATCTTGTGTGTGTGTGTGTGTGTGTGTGTGTTGTGCACTTGCATGTGAGCACCAAAGGACAAGCTCAGCTATTATTCCTTTGGTGCTGCCCCTCTTGATCTTTCACGTAGAGTCTCTCACTGGTCTAGAACTTACCAGGTAAGCCAGGTTGACTGTCCAGGGATCCCTAGAGAAGCCACCTGTCTCCTTATCCCCAGTGCTGGGCAGGAATAGCCCACCATTCCTACCTTTCAAGTTTTTTACAAATCTGATTTCTGGGTATTGAAACAGGTTCATGTGCTCGCAAGACAAACGGTTTAGTGACTAAGATGTCTCCCCAGCTTTGTCTTTTTCTTATGAGTGGGCAGCCTGGCTTGTTCTTTGAAGTTTTCTAGAGGGAGCAGATGTTGTGATTTTTTATACAATTTTCCTTGGTGTAGATATGGAAAGAGAGCATTCACAATGAAATATGTGCAGGCTCTGTAATTTCTGTGGGATGTGATGAGGCTTTTCAAGTAGAAAATGTGTACCTGCAAGCTGCTTGATGGCTTCTCAGTCATAATTATATCTGTAACACAGAAGGCTACAACCATGGCTCCTCCCTTACTTGCAAACTTTCTAAAAAACACCACGATCACTCTGCATATTCTGCACTGTTGTAGAATAAACAAACAGTGTTGTGTTTGGTTTGGGATGTGTGTTAAAAGGTTTCATTTCATTTAGGAAGGAATTACACTCATAGGAAAGATGGCGGACCTCCTATAAAAGACACACTTGCAAAGGCTGCAGTGAGGACAGTGGGTGCACTGGTTTTGAGGTCCTACCTGCTGCAAAGGAACTTGAACCAGAGTTCCATCCTGCATGAGTGAGAGAATGCTTATCACAACATTGTTCTCATATGGACAGAACGTGAGGAGAGTAGTGGGTGAAGATCTGAACAGCTGAGGCTGACTCAACCTTCCCCTGGGAAGTCCTTGCTTCTGCCTGTGGCGTTCCTCAGGGGATGGATAAGGAAAAGGGCCAGGCGTCGCTGTGATGTTAAATCCCCAGAGGACTGGCACATGAATGCTCTGTTACATATGTCCTCAGCTAGCTCCACGAGTACCCTCCCCTGCCTCCATCCGCTAACCTCAGGACCTTTTCATTGCCCATGTTACCCAGAAATCTATTTCCAATGCTAAGTATAAAAGGGATGGATAGTAATCCTTTTTACAGTGTGGGTACTTGTTCAGCAGAGCTGGCGTCTAAATGAGTGGTTTACCCAAAGCGCATCTGCATGCTGAAGGTCTGGCGCACAAGATGACTTAGCAGATGGGAAGTTTAGGAGGAAGACCTGATGAGAAGGCCTAAGTTCATCAGAGCCATGTCCTAAGGAGTTACTGTGGGGCCCTGCCCACCTTATCTTTTTCTGGTTCCACTGATGGAATAACTGTTCTTTGTTCAGTCTTCCAGGGTGGGCCACCATCCACTGACCCCATCAAAACTGAAGTACACAGTTAGTGTGCCTTCAGACTCTGAGCTGGATGAGTCATTTCTCTTTAGCATTAGTTGCCTCAGAGATTTCACTGGAGTAACACACAGCTGAGTTGTACAAAGCAGCCACAATTAAAGCTGTTCAATAGTTACCATTTGGATTCCATTGGTCCTCTCCACCCAGCACGAACAGGAAGTTCTCCACCTCTACAACGCAGTGGTGGGCACTGTTGTAAGGCATAACTGGAATCAAGAAAAAAGGACATATAAAAATTTCCTGCTACGTACTTCACCAAAGTGCGTACAAAACACGAGACTCCACCGACAGGCAACAGCACGGCTACCCACAACTCCTATGATCCACACAGCCTGGCTCAGTGGTGTGTTCCCGGCAGTTTCAAGCCCAACCCTTTTTGATTAATTCTGCATAATGTTATTCCAGGGATTAGTCAAGAACAACTTGCATGCTGCTTTCCATCCTTGAGTTCTCCTCATCAGCCCAATCGTGGAGGACGCAGGGTCTATGGCAATGACTGACACTCCCAAATGGTCAGGGCTGGCAGCCACTTCTCGAGAGAACTAATGCTGAATAATGTGGAACCATTTGCTGGCAATCTTTCCACAAACAGACTGGGGTGCTGGGTGGCTTTCTACTCCACAGCATCGAGCAGGCTGAATTTCCATACAGTTTTAAGTTTTTAAATTAAGGTCCTGCTGATTTAATGCCTCCTCCAAATGTATATGCTTAATTTCCTGTACAATGTCATTAGCAGCACAATCACACAGTTTCCATCTATCTGCATCGGAGCTCTTCTGTAACAAAGATGAAAACTGTCAGGAATGTCACACATATCCATTCTCCTCCACTCTCATTCTTTCTGCACCCAGCTGCAGAGGCCTGCGTGGAGGGCTGTTATTCATAAGCCCACAGAAGCCAGGTTTTTTGCCATTTGCATCTTCTTTGCAAAGTCAGAATGTACCAAGCACAGCGCTGCTGTCACCTTTGGTGTTGTGCAGTGGTGGTCGCTGCTGGTAGAGTATCATAGGGTGATTGTAGATGCATGGGACATTAGTTATCATATGACATGCAGTGGTTTGGGCCCAGTGACACCAGTAGGAAAAATGATGTCCTTGTTCAGCTCATCATATGGGCACCTTAAATCTAGGTGAGGACAAATGGGGAGGTGATGTGCCTGTTCAGGCAGGGAACTTATTGCTTGACACGGATCAACAGAGCACTTAAGAAACCAGTGCAGTGAGAAATCAATATGAATCCCAGCCAATTCTTGCTCTGAGCTCCTTTGCCAATGCAGAGAGAAAGGGAGAGAGAGAGAGAGAGAGAGAGAGAGAGAGAGAGAGAGAGAGATGAGAGAGGGAGAGAGAAGGAGGGAGAGGAGAGGGAGAGAAAGAGAGAAGGGGAGGGAAAGGGAGGGAGAGAAAGAGAAAAGGAAGGAGGGGGAGACACACACACATACACACACACACACACACACACACACAGAGAGAGAGAGAGTGCTTATTGCATAACTGACGGGAAACTATCTTATACCTGACTCATTTTGAGGGACATAGATACATCTTTCATTTCATTGTGTTTAATTATCTCCTAGCATTCTCAGAGATGACTTACACTGGTAATATATATGAATAAAAATAGAAGGAACCAGGCATGACTTTAAGAAAGAGAACTCAGAATATAGTTCTGTAAGTGCACCATTTAAGATTCTTACTAAAGTGCCAAAAGGTTGTAAGAATTCTGATTCGTAAATTAATATTTACTGTGACTATTTATTTCATCTGAAGTTATAGCCATGAGAGAAAAAGTATTCGTATGTATATGCCTGATTTAGAGGGTGGAAGAAAGGTCTAAAGTGGCTTGTGCAGACTATAAATTACATCAAGGGACTTCATTAGCTTAAGAATGTCCTTAAACCCCCAATGCTCACTTTAATCTTTGGAGAATGCTCTCTACTGATAGGTCTTGTTGAGTCATGACTCTGAATTCCTTGGCTTAAATTATCTGTTAGCTCACTGCTCAACTAAGTTTGATTATGTTTGGAAGCTATATTTTAAATGTCAAATTAATTAACTCACTACACCTTGAATTTTGATAACTTTTCTAAACTACTGCAAAGAAAACTAGGATACCCCATCCCTTGCTAGGACTGGATGTTTCAGCTTGACATAATGTCCTCTGACCTGCGTGACCTTACACAGCCTTAGCTGCCATTGGATGCATCTAGTTACATATGACATCATGCAGATGTGGAAGCCAGCAGCTCAATTCACGCATTCCATGGCCAACCAACATGCTTCATATACTTACTGAAAATTTTTGATTAGCTCACTGTCCAAATCTTTTTTTTTTTTTAAATACAGAAAATTTGTGTTTTCTTCTCTTTAACAATGAGCCCAGCTTCATATAAAACGAAATCTCTGAAAATGTAGCAACACTTGTGTTTGCTCCTGCTGTGCATTTGTTCCCATTCAGGCAAAAATTAAGTGAAGGAAATAATACACGATTTATTCCTAAGCCTCTTTCGCATTTGATTACCCCTATTGTTATGCTTTGTGCAAACAAATGAAGCTATTGCTCTAAGCTAACTACCGAACTCCTCAAAATCAGGGCAAAAGAGTTCTTTAAAGTCCTAATGGAATGAGTTTGTGGGGGTATTCTTATTTCTCCACGTTTTTATTTTTGCTTGACAATCTTGAATATTATATTTCTTGCTTGGGCATTTCAGTATTCACAATCTTGAATTATTATCATTTCTGAATTCTTACTGTGAAGTGGAAGGCTATAAGTAGACACAAATGACTCTATGAGATTATCGCTGAATATAAAGCACTCCCAAATTTATTACAAATAAAATATTTGATCATTGTTCGCATGTTGAAAGAACTCTAATTCCATTAACTTCTGCCTAAACCTGAAGGAAAGTAAAAGTAAACCGGGCAAGGAACAAGAGCCAGCAGCCCACTTAAAAGGCCACGTGCCCTGCACACACTCTCCTTTCAAGTCACCCCAAGGCCACCCCTTCTCCTTTGCAGACTTCACTAGTGGTGGACACCTGTGTGTGTGCACAAGCAGGTGGTGGAGGAGGTCGGCCCTCCACGTCACGCACAGCCTGCTCAGAGTTTTTAGCGTGTCAGTCAGTGAGTTAGAGGGAAAGGGGACAGTGAAGCTAATCAGGATGAAATGAGATTAAAGGCTGTCTAATTTTACAGCAACTGTGATCCATCAGCCACTGTGAAAGTGACAGTGGAAATGAGTGATGGGGACAGACAGGTGGGGCTGTACATTTCACTGATTTATCCTCAAATGCACTGGGCCTTATTTTATTGAGTGAACACGACCGCATTTATCAAGTCTGTCATCTAAAGCCACTTCCCTCCATTTAAAAAGGTCACTTTACTCTGAGGGAGCAGGAGAGAGGCACTTTCAAATCAGATTTAAAATCGAATAACACATGTTTATAAGTGCCCTTCTCGAGGAGCCTCAACTTTATCTCACACAAATGAGTTGTGATGGAAGGAGAAGTGGGATAGAAGCTAGAAAATCACAGAAGGAAACAACTTTGGTAACACAAGGGTCTCTAAATCGTCAATGGGTCTCTAAATCTGAGGCAGTTTATACCATTTTCTTTTCCTTTCCAATCCCATGTTTTATTCTGATTTGAGGAACTCAATCAAACATTTGCTAATATTTAGTATTTTAAATTAAGTAAGTAGAAAGCGGTAGAGTGACGCCATGAACGTAAACCCGGGAAAGAGCTCATCACAGTATTGAGCCTGTGGAGTGACTGATCCTCGCCTGGGAAACAGAGGTCAGCAACTGCTACGAGCTGGATCTCGGCTGCAATGAACGCCTACACCTGTTAATTGTTTTCCCATGATTTTAAAGCCATATCAATCTCAGACACGCAGCCTTTCGCCCCTCCCTGTACTGCTGCAATAAAATGCTTCAGGATGCTGGGCACGAAACCATGCTTGGTTTAGAAGTGAGCACTGAATCCTCATCGTGTGATGTGTTGCTTTTTGTGCCAATAACCACACTTGCCGCTGACCATGTGCTGCATGTTAAATTGAATGCCTAATTATGTTTGTGTGTTTATCAGCATTATATCTCTGGAAATGCATGTGTTTAGCCCTCGCTATGAATTTGTCCCCATTTAGGGGGGAAAAAAAAGAATCAGATGAACTGACTAATTCATGATATTAAAATTACAATGTATGGTGAAAGAGATCATGTCTCTACCTGTATCTATTTACCTATATTTATTTACCTATATACATTTAACTGTGGATCAGGCATAATTCCACCACCTTATTTCTAGGGGACAGGCTGAGGTCTTGGGAGGCGGAGTCACTTGTTGAAGGTCATACTCAGCTGATGACTACCACAGCTCAACTCCAAACATGGGACTGTCTGGACCCCGACCCACGCTCTTATGCATTTCACTCTACTGACTTCCAATAGGTATGTTCAGCCAACCAGAAAATAATTGCTGAGTACCTGAGTGTTCAATGATAGTGTCCCTGAAATCCACCATGTATAATTTTTATACGGCGTCATACATTAAATGTGCTTATTACTTAGATGTTTAAGATGCATGTGCCACTTCGAATGTGTTTCTGTACATGCAAATATTAAACTGACTTGTTTTCGTGAAGTAAGATGTGTTTTGATTAGCATGCACCTACTGTACAAAGGTTTTCATTATGATGTTTAAAACATGCACATAGTATATTTCGATCCTATTCATGCCCTCTGTTATGTTTTCCTACCTTCCCTCTTCCCCCCTTTCTATTTCTGTGTCCTAAATAGCCCCCCTTTTACTGTAATGTCGATTCTTTCCTACCCTTCCTGGACTCCACATATGACAGAAAACACACAATAGTTGTTCTGAGTCTAGCCTCTTTCCCTTAACATGATGATTCCCAGTTCTACTTTTTTTTTTTTTCCCTGTGGGTAACACGATTTGTTCTTTCCGAGTGACTAGAACCCTGCTGTGTATACACATTACCTTATCTTTATTCATTGTCTGCTGTTGGTCATATGGGAGATTCCATGATTTGGCTACCATTGCTTCAGTAAATATGGATGGTGCCGGTGTCTCTATTCCATGCTGCCTTTGTTTTTGAGGGTGAATATCTGCAAGGAGCTGTATTTTATGGACATCCTACTTTATGGATCAAGTCCCTCTACAACGAGTTCCATAGTGGCTAGACTAAGTCACATC